ACCAACCACTGTGCCACCTATGTAACGCTGCGCTCCAGGCACTGGATATTTACTGAAACCAAACCTGTACACCTATCAGTGACGGTACGTGGAATCCGCGTGTAATCAATCACTGGATCACATGTCAACAGAGTCACCGTGTCTCAAACACTGGTTCCAGAGAAATGGGCAGCAGCCTGGAGGTCCAGAGACAACCCTCACATGAGGAGAACGCCAGACAAGCAGCAGATTTAAAGCCATTATCATAGATGCAGTTAGCTTCTGCTAATCTTTAGCAATTTTAGCTTCGTCTATTTCTTGGATAAATCTGATGCAACTTGTGCCAAATTATTGACTATTTTCGATTCATTTTAGACCATTCTGCCGTGTTGTTTCAAGCCAAAGACCCTGATTAAAAACAACCAATAATCAACGTGGTCAAAGTCGTCGACATGAATCAGTCTCGGTGAATTCCAGGAGTTGAGATGCTCCTTCTCCATGTTGGATTTCACTGAAGGGAAATCTGAGTGGATGTCATTCCTGGTGGGGCAGCTGTCGAATGACATGTCCACTGTTGGATTATAATACGGGTGTGTGTGCGTGCGTGTGTGTGTCATCAACACAGATGACGCTTCACTGCAACACACACTTTGTTTTGAGCACAAAACACAGACAACTGTTTCTCAAACTGGAATCTAATGACATTTATTGGAGCCTTGAGCCAAACACACAAATATACTTAGCATAGATGCTGTTAGCATCTGCTGTTTTATAGCTAATCGTTAGCAATCTTAGCTCTTTTTTAGCTGTATTTCGGGGATAAATCTGATTTAACCAAATGAATGGACAATGTTGTTGTATTTTTTTAACTTTAACTCAACTGTCAGGATATCTGGGATTTTAACTTTTGCTGAAAGACATTTTTGATAAAGTTGAAGCTATTTTCATAACTTAAAGCTTCTTCTTAACCTAACTTTAATCCTTTTCAATAGCAATAGGCTAACCTTTAGCTCTGGTTTTGTTCGAGCATTTAAACTTTTATGAAAATGCATTAGTCAAACTGTAAATATCCTTTAATGAAAACTGGCATTATTAAATTATTATTATTAGAGGAAATTCTCTGAGTCTCTCTCTCTGTCTCTCTCTCTCTCTCTCTGTCTCTCTCTCTCAGGCCTGACACGTGTGTGTGAGCAGCAACACCAGCCTGGTATTTTTGGCTAACATGGAAATGCAAAAACCATCATGTTCCCATAAAAGTCACACGTTCACCTGAAAACTATCACTATGATAAATAAATGATCAACGCGACCGTGCCCGACCGCGGCTGCCTTGTTTTCATCGCTCTCAGAACAGATGGACACAGACCCTGGAAATAGAAGATGCAGTAATTGTTGGAATGAGGTTTGGTGAACCACAGGCCCGGGATGGGTGTGAACTCACCGCAGGAGGTGTGTGCTTTCAAATGTTCTTTCACTTCCAAAAAATATTTCTCTTTCTAAGTGTTGTCAATTATATGACTCGCTGTATTCAAAAAGGATAGCAGATTGCCCTGTGTACCACTAGAGGGCGTGCTAGTACCACCAGTGGTACATGTTCCACAGTTTGAGAACCATCACACTATATCAGAACCTGTTGCAGAGAGAAGAATCAGAACAGCACGTCATGATGTGTGATTTGCTTTTTTTTTTTTTTAATAAAAAGAAAAATATTGTTTTAATCTGGACTAAAAGTCTATGTCCCACTAGCTCTGAGTCTAACCGGTCTGAACAGTTTTGTATCAACTCCACATCACACTTACAAATTGCGGAATAACCCTTTAACACAAAAGCAGAAATTACACGAAGGTCATTGCCTCAGCAGCAGCAGCAGCGATGGTTTATGAGTCACTGCATCACTTTTGTAAAACGGTGAAAACCTGACTCTGCTCACCGAGGGGAGTACGTCACCGTGTGTATGTCATGGTTCTGTGGACGTGCAGGCTTCCCCGTCCGACCAATGGGCACGAGGAGCAGCCGTCAATTACGAGCGTTTCAGACGTTTCACCTTCAGGCCCGTGTTGACGCTGCAGCTCACACTGCTGAGCAACTCTGCTGCAACGTCCCTGAGGAAAATCAATACACACTCAGCATCTGATCTGAGCGACTACGGACGGATCAACTCCGATCTGAGCCAAAAGTCTCCAAACACACTGCACTGGCTGTGTGACGGCTGAGAAAACATCCATCCAGTCAACAAAACCATGTGCTGACCATGTGACCATGTGACCTGGGCCTGTGTTTGTTTTAATGGTGGAGCTGGAATACAGTTGTGGCCCTGTGTGTGTGTGTTTGGTGTTTGTTTGGTGTGTGTGTTGAACTTTCACCCACTGACTGAATTCACCGACACACCTACGACTGTGGTCACTGACAAAAGAGAAAAAACAAACAACCATCTGTTGACAGTGGGTTTTCTCCACAAACTGACCACCAAAAATACCAAAATAAATCACTGTTTCAACATTTTTGAATTGAATAATGCAGTGAAATGTGACAGGAACTGTGTTGGAAAATCATTAACTACAGTATGCTAACATTCAGTTTAAAAAAAAGTGAGAAAAGTAAGCCCAAAACACACAGCTTCATTTTTCACACTGAAAGATCATGTTAGCTAAATAGCATAACGTCAGCTAGGCTATCTGAACAAGAACTAAGACTAACTAAGCTCAGTTTGTCGACAGTACTTAATGTAAATGAAGGAGTAGCTAAAAGTTAGCCACAACACCCAAAAAAAGCTAGAGAGAGAGAGACAACCCCCACATCGAAAAGAACCAAAATGTTAGCTAAGAATAGTAATAGCAACAACATGAGGGGGAGATAGTGGGGAGCAAACACAGAGGGGGAGATTATTAGCGGGAGGGGAGGGGGAGGGGGGGCAAAGAGTCACATGACAGTAGTAACCCAGAAAAACACAGATAATCAATACATGGAAAGTGTGAAGGGGGTCGGGGGGGCACATGTATCATTTTCACAAAGCGTAGCTAACATTTAGCTCATTCTTAGCCAACGTTTAGCTAAAGCTTTAGTTTAGTTTTTTTTTGTGCAAATTTGTGAATGATATCAACTGACGTTGAACTGATGTGTGTGCACGTGAGATAACCCTCGACCTCCTCCCTCTCCATCTTATCTCCAGCTGTTGTTGGAGGCGACACCTATTACTGTAGAAGTTCACTGTACTCACTCACACACACAATGTGTGTGTGTGTGTGTCTGTCAGAGCAGATTTTAATCAGATTTCATCAGATTTTAATCAGATTTTCTCACAGACGTCTCGTTTCCTTCACCTTGGTGTCGACCAAACACGGTGATTCATGGGAGCGTTTGTTTTTTTCCACAGGGGAATTTTTTTTTGTTTATTTCCAAATGTGTCGCCGCTCAGTCATGATCCTCATGTGGAAACATGAAGGTGTCAGAGTCACACTGTCAATACATCAGCTGCCTCAGAACACACAGCAAAAAACCTGTCGCCTTATCTACACGTCGACGTTCATATTATCGTGGGTTTAATCTTTGCTGACTGGAAGAAAAGTGACCTCATTCCTCATGATGTCATAAAAACTCTGAATGTCATTGGTTACATCACCTCCGGGCCAAAAAGACCACACATAGCAGGATGGACCAGATGATGTTGGGCCTGCACTAGAACCTGTGACCTTTGTCACGTCTGTCGCCTTCAAGGACACTGACCACCGCCGCATTACTGTGATTAACTGACCACAGTGTACAGGCAGAGACTGCCCCCCCCCCAGTGTCTAAAAGGCTGCACTTGGGACCACCGAGTGGACCCAGGCGTCCCACCCTCGGCCCCCGCCCCTGCTTTAGGAATCAAACTATTCCTGTTGCAGCAGAGAAACCACAGAAAATGGACCAGAGACTGCCTGAAGCTGAGCAGCAGACAAACAGGGACGTCCTACAACGACGACGACAACAACAACAACAACAACAACAACCACAACAACAGCCGTACCAGCACAGCCATCCTCCACAACACTCCAGCTTCTCAGCTAATGCATTACATAACAAGAGGCTGGAGACAGATTTATGTCCTGATCAGAGACACTCACACACACTCACACACACAGACATATGCAGGTCTGTGTACAGTTGTGGGGCCCCACATGAGCACTGCATTATTCTAACCTTTAACATTTGAACTTGACCTCTAACCTCAGTTATTCACACAGATTATTGTGGCTCTTCTTCTTCTTCTTCTGTGTAACAAATAGACCACCAGTTGAAAATAAATCACATGTCCTGGTGTACGCCGCAGGCTCAAATTATCTCAAAAAGTCACCGGTTGTACCATGACGCTACACACTCAAGTACAGTAGGTGGCAGTATGTGCCTCAAAACGACAATTGTGACAAGCTGTTAAACCAAGACGTCCAGTCCCTACGAAGCCTGGGTGACATTCAGGTGTTAACACGACATTGTCACATAAAACAAGGAACATTTTATGGAAATGTCAGAGACTAACACGCGGTCTGCGGCCCGCACGTGAACCTCAGAGGACATCTGTGGACTGAACCAAACAACGGGGTCCAGACTGGACTGGACTGGACCCTGACTGCAGAAGACAAACTCATTTTTAAAGTGTGTATTTATAAAATTACTAAATAAATAAAAGGGCTTCTAATATTTCTGAGCCGGAAGTTTGTTTGTTTTTAACACTTCTGCTTCTGGGAGGTGAGTTAATGAGATTTCTTCTTTTTTTTTGCTGTTTGAAAAAGCACTTCTGGAAAATGAGCAGTTTTTTAGAGAGGCTGATAATTTAGTCCTCAACTGAAGACAGGCAGGTTGGAAATGTTATAGTTTTGCTAAAGTAATTTATTCTACGTGTATTGACGAAAAACTTCATTCAGTTTGCTGTGTGCTGTCAAGACGCTGCAGGGATTCGAACCTTTTGCTACATGAGTCATATCACGCACGTACGCACACGTGCAAATACAAACACAGAGACAGACGGACAGACAGAGAAGCACCAACCTGCTCCTTGCGTTTCTGCCAGCGGCCGCAGGGACTCTCCTCCAGGATCTCACTCTCATCCTCGCTCTCCTCCTCCTTCCCCTCGGATCCTGATTTCCTCTCCGGGACGGACATCGTCATTGTAACGGACTCGTGCGTTTCTTAACGGATCCTCCAGCCACGGGTACCTCCTGCTCCTGCTCCTTCTCCGGTCCGTGTGTCTCAGACGCGCCGTAGCGCTGCCGCTGCGCACTGATCCCTCTCCCTCCTCACCTCACCTCGTCTCCTCCTTCCCTGTCTCTGTCTCCCTCCCTCCTTCCCTGCACCCACCAGCCGCTCTGTCTCCCACCTCACTGATCAAAACATCTCACAGTTAGAAGAAAAAAAAACCCAAAACAAACAAACCCTCGTTTTTGCCCTTTTTTTCCCTCCACAGCGCATGAAATCAAACTCAGGGCTGACGTACGGCTGACTCCGGCGCGTGGAGGACTGGTCTCCCACACTTCTCTGATCTCCTCACTCCCTCACGGCTGCATGCAAATAGCTTGCAAAATGGTGCAGGTTTTTTATTTTTGCCCAACCTCACACTGGGTTTTCTCCAGTCACTGAAAAAAAAAGATCCAAAATCCGAGTCCCGGGAGGAGGAGGTGCAGAGGAGTCCGCTGTGCTCCTCAAACGTCGCCTCGTTCACTGGCGTTTTCCACCATCTTCCACACGAGTCATTGTCAGTGTTGTTGGTTCTGAAGCAGCAGCAGCAGTCGTGAGTTTCTGCCAACCAGAAAGACGGGCCAGGGTTACCGTAAAGACTGCAGTAAGCGCGCTACACAGATTGCAGACGGCTGGTTTTAAAAGCTCCGGCGGCAAATTTGACGACTTTTTCAGTCTAAGCTAAGTATTACGGTATTTATTTATTGAACTTTTTTAAATGAATAAAAATGTATATTTGTTAAATTTCTTTTAAAAAATAAGAATTGGAATACATATTTTCTTGTTTTTTAAAGTCTAAAATCGATTAACTGTCGTTTAATTAGGAGGAAACCACGATAACCACGATACAAACCACGATAGAAAACCACGATAGAAAACTATCGTTTTTTCCCAATTCTCGTAAATAAATCCCAGACATTCGAACTGAGACAAAGACACCAAACAACCACCGAATGTCTCTGTGAATAGTTGTGGTTTTTAAAACCGTCTCTGTCTCCTGACTGCCCCACTGATGCCACAGACGTTCGTCTCCTCGGTGGTCCTGAGGAGGTTTGTTCTTCAGCCGTCTCAGTGGTCTTGTTGTGTCACTTCCGGGTTGTTTTCTTCACCTGTTGAATTAATGTGTGCCTCCATAGAGTCTGTGTCGCCAACAACAGACAAAGGCAACGGCCACAAACAACAACAAACAACTCACAAGGAGAGAGAGAAACTCTGCCCAGACTTCAGGAACAATGGAGAATTTTCTGATTCTGGTTTTCGTATTTACAGTCGTGGAAAACTAGCTTCACTGAGAATCCAAACATCTGCTGCTGGAAACTGTTTGTCACATGAACAGCAACTTTGGTTGATATGATATTCGAGGCGAGCAGAAGGAAAACTCACTCAGACATTTTTGAAACCCAACTGAAATAAATAAAGATAATATTAATAGTAAATCTATACAGTAATAATAAAGATATAATGGTTTTGATGATGATTATTCTTCTTTTACACCTACTGAAAAAGTGTTAGTTTAAAAATCAATAGTCCTTTTCTTTTTATTATTATTATGATTATTTTTCTGAATACATGGTATTTTGAAATTCTAACACCAAGATAAAGAGCTATATACAGTACATTAATATCAGGCAGGCATAATGTTAACGCGACATCTAATGCAACGACACCATCATGTGGCTACGGTGTGTACTACAAGTTCTGTCCCAGGCCAGTCAGTTTAGCCTGTAGCGTCAGTTTGATTTTAACTCCTCTCCGTTTAAACAGTGACATCTTAATTTCATAATTTGGTCTGTTAAACATCTTTGTTGTCTTTTTGTGGCCATTTGTGGGATTTTTTTAAAAATCATTTCCTCAATCTCGCTGGTTTTTTTATGACAGCAGAGCTCGACTGTTTTTATATTTGGAGAATCAGTCAGACCGTAAGCCTTAAAGTTATATAAATATCTGGAACAGATTAAATATCTTTAATGGTTTGATACACTTTTAATATTATATAAAACATTCAAGCAGACGTTGACTCGCTGTAATTACATCCTCCACATTCACCGCCCACTTGTCGACACACCGTGGAGCCCGGGAACCTGCCGATACCCCGTTACTGCACACATACAATTCTGTAGCTTTTTGTTATATTTTACGTTTGACTTTATATCAAATATTCTCAATAAAATTGACCTTCTTCTTCTATCACTTTAACACCAACTCTAAACACATACTTATTGACATTGTAACACGGACTTGAACCTTGACTTCATTTTTTTAACCTTGACTCTGATCAAACAAATAAATCTCAGCCTCTCAGAACCAATTCCAGTTTCTTAAACGATGACTAGAACCAGGTACTGGGGATAGCTGTGCCATTTGCTTGATGACTTAGCTAGCTAGCAATAAAAAAATAGCTAAAAGCCAGCCAAGAATGTAGCAAAATGGCCACAATGGTTAGCAGAAAAGCCAAGAAGAAATTTATATATATAAACAAACAAACAAAAGTTAGTCAAAACCGGTGACGATCTGCCAGGAGACACAAACTCTCTCTCTCTTATTAATATTATTATTTTACATATAATCAAGTTACTTATTAATAACATACAAATCGTCATTTATTTGTACATTTGCCTGTTCATTTATTGAACTGGGGGCGCCATCAGATCGTGTAGTGAGTTGTTTTGTTTTGTTTTTAAAAATATTTATTCAGTGTATACAGTAACGTGGAGCTGGTTGTTGTACCGAACATCGAACTCCTCAGCCTGAGGAGCCTGAGGACACGGACAGAAGTGTCGGGGCTCCACTGTTGTAGGCCATTTTCTTACAGTGGTCCAACCTGTTTGCTTTCATTTCCTGTGAAAATGAACGGGAAATCATGAAACGCGTGATTGTTGAGGTGCCGTCGCTGTAAAACAGTGGTCGTTAATGGAAGTGCAGAGCTGAGAGCTGGGATTTAAAGAGTGTATATTGTGGTGTAACTGGTGTAAAACAAACAAAACAAAGAACCGCCAGAAACATAACGGACATATCGCAACATATTTGTCTCTAAATACCAATAAAGGAAGACATTTCAGAGAGTGTTTGGTTCTGTTTTAACTGAGTCGAAGTTTATGTTAAATAAAATACTTCTTGACTACCTTAAAAAGTCCAGGGACTAGTGGTCATCGGGTGGTACAACACCATTGTAGTAAAAAAAAAACTGCTACTAATATAAACCATTTCCCACAATGCATTAGTCTGTTGTATAATCTACCACACCAGGGTCCACAAAGGAAGTCGTTCTCTTTTAGCCTTAGAAGATACAGCAGCTGCCGATCTACTGCTCCCTCCTGTGGTCAGTTTGTGTCACTGCCGTCAATCTGACTGCGCTCCGGAATCATCACAATCATTCCCCATATTCGTAATACTGTCCTTTAACACGCTTTAAAGTAAATATTTAAAACATGAAGGATTTATAGGAATACATAAAAAATATAAAATGACACATTTGGTGGTTGTACCTCTGTGAGTCTGGGTTTCTGGATACAGTTGACGTACGGTTTGGGGACGGCCTCCATCTGGTCCTGCACTGTTTTGTAGCAAACTCCACAGTCCATCAGCGGCTGTGAAGACATTAGAGAACATGAGGAACCTTTGAGTGTCTGCGGTCAGACAGAAGTAAAGGACGGGTCAGAGGAGCTCACCCTGTCGTTCCTGAAAGGACACTGCTGTGGACTGGTGTTGGTGGATCCTTTGGGGCAGCGGGTGGGCTTCAGGTAGAAGTGGTGGTAGATGTAACTCACACCGAACCCACTCTGAAACACAGCGGGAGGTCAGTTCAACAAATTGCAAAAACATTTTTAAATATACGCTGCAGATTCATAGCCCTGGGGTAATTTCCCTTCACAGAATTTTCCCTCACAAGATTTATTCCAGAAGAAGAAAACAGTATACTAAAAAAATAATTTAGTATTTAATCATTTAATTTTTTAAATTAATTTATTGTTTAAATTTATGAAAAAAGTCATTAAATCATCAAACATTGAATCAATAAAAACTTATACTGTACTGCAATACGCAGATTTGACCGAATGGTGTCGCTGAATATCAGCTTATAAAACCGTCTGTTCGGGGTCAAACGTCGAATTGCGTAATCGGAAAATCAGAATTTCGTGTTTGTTTTTTTTTCCTGTTCGAGGTGAAAGTGAACGACGACTGTGAAAACAAACAGGTCCAACAGTTGAATATGAGTGTGGTTTAAATACATGTATTTTAATTCAATCGATCGTTTATTTATATAACTTTTTTAATTTCAGGTTAGGGAGCTCAGATTGAAAATTAACCTTGATTTGTTTAATTAAAACATTAGACATTAGAACATTTATTAATCACATGACATCACAGGAGTAAAAAAATGATGATGATGATGTTTCAAAGGTATCAGTGTGAAAGGAACGAGATTTATAAAAAAAAGGAAAAGAAACTTCCCTAAAGGCAGGGAGGGAGCGTCTGACAGTTACCACACACAGGCAAAAACAATAAACATAAAAAACAGTGACTGGCAAATAGTTCGAGACAAGTCCAGACTGAGTTAACTTCATGTCCATGTACTGAGTTACGTGTAAGTCTATATGAGTGAAAAAGAATCAGAGTCAAGTCAGGTCTTCTGGGGCTGAGTCCAAGTCCAAGAATGAGTTCTTCAGAGTTCAAGTCGCTGAAGAATAGGTCAAGTCAGGTTAAGTCCCGAGCCTTTCAAGTTCAAGTTAATAACAAAAAAAAGTCAAAGTCGAGTCGAAGACGATTCCTGAGGCTTTTCAGTCTTTTTCAAGTCCAAGTCATTGAAAAAGAGTGAGTTAAGACCGAGTCAAGTCTCTTGGGATAAGTCACAGTCCAAGTTACTCAGGTTAAAAACTGACTTGACTCAAGTCCAAGTCTCTACAGAAAGGATTTGTGTTCGGTTGAACTCAAGTCCCAAGTCCAAGTCAACAAGAAAACATTTTGTCCAGTCCAAATAGAATCTCTGTGGTTTTATATTTAAGACCAAGTAACTGAAAAAAATAGACTCAAAATAATTTCAAGTCAACTAACAAGTCGCTAGGAAAATGTGATCGAGTCCGAGTCAAAAAACTGGGATTTCAAGACAGAATAAAGATCAGAAAAGAGAGAAAAAAAAAAGTAAAGTTTCTAGACTTTTGAGTTGAGTCCAAGTCAAATCATGGATCAGTACTTCAGTCCTACTGAGACCCGGTCCTACCTCCATGTCTGACTTATACACGCTCCTCAGGAAGCGAAAATGGTGGTGAACTCCGGCGTGAACGTTGAGCTGCTGCAGAGCCAGATCGACTCCTGGCTTTTGGTTGTCGGGCAGTAGGTCATACGCCTCCCGAGTGTCTGCGGAGGAGAGCACGGCTCCGGCACAGAGCAGCAGCAGTGGCAGCAGCAGCAGCAGCGTCGGGTGGTGTCCTGTAGGTGAAGCCATCTTGGTCTGAAAGAGTGAGAGGAGAACAACCAGAAGATCCAAGACGAGTCCTATTATGGCTGCAGGAGGGAGAGCACAAACCAGACCCAGCCTGCAGCATCTGCTGTTTATCTTTCTACGGCCTACTTCCTGTAATCTCCTCTGTACTAGGGGGGTAACGGGGGAGCGGGGGAGGGGAGGGGGGTGCAGGAGGGGAGAACAGATTTGAGCATGTCTCAACAAAACACACTGTCAGTGAAGAGTTTTCACAGGAAAACGAAAACAACTTTAGAGAAATCTTCTCCGTGTTGTCAGAGTGGAATCCTGGATTAGTAATCCAGGTCCTGGAACTGGGCCAAGGCCTCAAAGACCTTTGGCTCCAGGACAAAGCAGCTGAAGATGAATGGGTGACTGAACATCTGTGACACGGCCCCCGAAACTCTATTGTCATCACATTAACGAGAAAGCAGACGGTGGTTAACAGGAAACAGAGTTCTTCCCTGAAGTCAGCTGACGAAGCGTCTGGTCACTTACTGAAAATCAAACTTATCGTCTCGTGGGACTGAGTTCCTTCAAGACTGATGGAAGATTCTGGACTAGATTCCAGAAGCAAAATCAAAAGTCTTAAATATACCCACAGAGGTCAATTAAAATAGAGAACTTTATTGGGGAATAACAAAACTTGAATGTTCCAGTTGAGCTTCTGTAGAACTGAAGAACTTTGGCTACGGTAATTAAAAGCTAACACGACAAGTAAAACAGCTAGGCTGAAGCTGGTTGTAAAATTTAGCAAAATTAGCTTGGCATAAGCAAAATCCTAGCTAAAAACTTACCTTAAAATAACTGCTGGTAAAAACAACAACTCTGAAATTAGAAAAACAATAATAATCTAGCGAAAATGCTAACACTAGCTAAGATTGAACCTATAAACAGGTAACCTTAAACCTTAAAATCAATCAGTGTTAGCCAAACATGAAACAGATACGAGTCACTAAGTAAACTTTACTAGGTAAATAAACAAAAGTACGCAGTTCTTTGAAGACAACACTCACAAAGTTTACACACGTTTATTCTTTTCAAAGCTTAGTTAGCTTAGTTTGAGGTCGATGCTAACAGAGTCGGAGCTCCACTGCTGTATCCCAGTCTGTTACAGTGGTTCACCCTGGAAGTCTTCATCTCCTGGAAACGACAGACGAGACAAGAACAACAATCAAAAATTCAATCAGTCAAACAAATAATCAAACATTTCAGGTTTATATTTGTCTGGGTTTTTTTTATCTCTCTGCCTCAGACTTTATCTTTATCCTTATTATAGTTATTCTGACCAACTGTTGGCTAATTCTAGGTCAGCTTTGAGAGATGGCTAATGGGCAAAAGAGAAACTTTGTTTTAAAGACCCCAGAGGACAAAGAGGGACAGACGTGACGTGAATCAGGAGAGACACTGCTGAGGACAAACCTGGGTCAGAGCCGGTCTGTGGACACAGTGGACGTACGGTTTGGGCTCCGGTTCAATCTCTCCGTTGAAGGCTTTGTAGCAGACGGCACAGTCTATTAGTGGCTGCACGAACGCACAGACACAAAACACAGAGCAGAGACAAGTCAGGACAGGCGTCCTCCCCCTCGACCCCCCCCCCCAACCCTACACACACCCACACACACACACACCACCCCTGCCGCCAGCAGCGCCGT